CAGCAAAATATATTAAGAGTCAGTTAAAGTTATTCATTATCAATATGTGTCTTATTTGTCCTCAGCACTAAAATGTCAAGTTGTATAAACCAGTTTATATTTTAGGAATAAAACAGCAGTGGAGAGAGAGGACGTCCTTGGTGTTTGTCTCTCAGCTTTTAGAAGTTTTATGATTTGTTTCTGTGATTCTCTCTGAAAGTTTAACAGAGTGACTCCCTCTAGTGGACGTTGTGGAGTATTCTGTTGTCTTTGCTCCAAAGGTTTTTGTACAGAGTTTTGGTGTTTCCTGTCACTGTGGGCTTCACAGCACAGTAGTACACAGCAGAGTCTGTCACTGCAGCAGAGGAGATCTGCAGATCGACTCGATTCCTCTCCTCATTCAGGTTAGCGGTCAGTTGAGGGTGTGGAGGTTTTGCTTCCACCACTGAAGGCTCTTTTGCATCAGTGATCAGGAGAAGGAACTGAGGAGCTGATCCAGGATCCTGTCGATACCACTGGAGATTATCGGCTTTAACTGAATAGCTACAGGACAGAGTAACACTACGGCCCTCTGATGAGAACACTTCAGCTCTGCTGGCAGTAATATCATCTTCCAAGGTGTTACCTAGTGAGGGAAACAACATGTTAGATTCAGAGTTCTGTTCCAAAGGCAGACATCCATCATTTAAAACCAGCACTCACTGTCAGAAACACACGTACCTACGAGAGCTGAAAAGAACAAAAGTGCAGCGAGTTTCTCCATGTTGACAGAGGAGAAATGCTGGAACTGAATGTTCAGTATGAACACGTTCTGTCAGTTGTGTTTGGTCTGATGTTCACAGCTGGAATCAAAGAGTTCTCTGCCATGAAGCAGCTCTGCAGTCAGTAGGAGGAGACTCATATTTCACAGTAGTTTCATTTCTGAAGCTCTTCATCACAGCTGGGTCTCATTCTAAATCTGCTAATGCCTCTTAATTCTGTTTTTGTTCATAAAATGGCGATAAATATTTGAACGTCATGATTTTATGTTGTTTACACTTTAATAGTTTTGTCTTTTGGATATAAATTGAAGGCGTTTTAAAGCTGAAACAATTTTGAGATTCAACCTCTTGGAAACTAACACCTACTTCCAGGAAAAAAAGGCCTAAAATAACATACCTAAAATAAATCAGTAATAACTCCTCAACCATTACGCCTAGCTGCATAATTCTGGTCTCCTTTGAGGCCAGAAACTAAGGGATATGGAGAAACTGTAAATGAACCATTTGGTGGTGGTGCAGTGGATAAGACTATGCCTTTGGTGTGAGAGACCCGGGTTCAATCCCCCACTGTGACACATTCACCACTGTGTCCCTGAGCAAGACACTTAACCCCTAGTTGCTCCAGAGGCTCTGACATGTGTAGCAATAGTAAGTCGCTTTGAATAAAAGCCTCAGCTTAAATATAAATGTATTGGGAGTTTTCTTCAAAACACTATTTCTGTCCATACAACCATGTTCCAAAAAATATAAAGCTTCCAAAACATTGAAATATTGATAAAAACAGTGAATATTGATCAACATTCCTGTGACCTAAAGCACTCCCATGCTTTACAGGCATACAAGTTGATAACAGAACCTCCTACAGGGCTGTAGGTGGGCTCGTTCTCTTCGTATTGAAGAGACGAACTGATGGTACACTGGATGTCTGTGTAGCTCATACGGGCCAGTAGAGGCCGATAATGACCATCTGTTCCAAAGCAACTCTTCTCTCCTTCATTTTGATGAGAAAAGAAACCTAAAGAAGCGGCACGGTGGTATAGTGGTTAGCGCTGTCGCCTCACAGCAAGAAGGTTGCAGGCTCGAACCCGGCCCCGGCCTTTCTGTGTAGAGATGTTCTCCCCGTGTCTGCGTGGATTCTCTCCAGGTGCTCCGGCTTCCTCCCACCGTCCAAAGACATGCAGGCTAGGTTGATTGGTGACCCTAAATTGTCCTTAGGTGTGAGTGTGACTGGTTGTTTGTCTATGTGTGGCCCCGTGATGGATTGGCGACCTGTCCAGGGTGTACCCTGCCTAAAGAGCTCACTGATTGTGTAATACCAAGATGGCGGGCTCTATTGACACAGAAAACAGCTGTTTTTGGACTGAATCCGGGGAAAAGACAAAAGTATGTCAGCGTTGTAACTGTAAGCACATATTGCTGCGTTTGTTATTAGTCGGCTCTGAGTTTTGTGAGTTGATTGATAGGAGTTATACAGCTGATCAGAGCTGGAGCTCAGCTTTCTTTAGAGTGGTCGTAGTAGGATGAGATGAGATGAACTGCAGCCCCAATTTATGTTGTGATATAAGTTCATTTAGATGCGTGGTTGGTTAGGTGTGGATAAAAATGGTCTGTTTGAGATGTAGCTGAGCCTCCTAGCTTCAAGGAGGTGTGTGGCATGCATATGAAGACAAGACAATGTGATCATCCGTGACTTCCCATTTGCAGTTTGAGGCGAAAATCGATCGGTCAGTGCTTAAGTCAACCTGACTGTATATTTTAAAACATCACGTATTAACTTTTGATATTTCACCAGGTGACAATTTAAAACATCATAAAAACATATTCATGGTACCATGGCTGTTGCTACGAGACATCCTGTCCCTACAAAACCAGAGTGAGAGCTGTGTTTGTACACTCAGCAGGTGGGTGTTGGGCTGGCTGGTTTGTCCCTTGTCGCAGATTATGTTTGTAACTTTCATGAACAAAATCTGAAGGAGCATCCGGGGGGAGGAGGGTGTTCGGTTTGGGGGCCTGAGCATTTTTTCTCTGCTATTTGCAGATGATGTGGCTCTGTTGGCTTCATCAGACTGTGACCTCCAACATGAACTGGGACGAGTTGCAGTTGAATGTGAAGTGGTCAGCACCTCCATGTCTGAAGTCATGGTTCTCTGCTGGAAAACGCCGGATGGCTCCTTGTTGGGTGGGAGAGAGTTGTTGCTCCAAGTGACGGACTTCAAGTATCTTGTGGTCTTGTTCACCAGTGACGGTAAAATGAAGCATGACATCGACAGGCAGATTTTTGCGGCGTCAGCAGTCATGCAGGCGTTGTACCAGACCTGTTAGGAGTATGGTTTTGTGTTCATGTCTTTCCTGTTTAAGTCCGTTTTTGGTTCTGAGTTTCTCTCTGTAGCCTTGTTTATTTTTATTCAGGCACATGTTCTAGTTTACTTAGTATCTGGTTTCATGGTTTTGGGTTTTGTATTTCTGTGGTTCATTATTTGATCATGTTTAAGTCTTTTGTTCATTCTCATGTTTAAGTTTTCTTAGTATCTGTCTGGCCTCTTATCTTAGTTCTTAGTCTTGCATTTTAGTTCTTAGCCTCAGTTCTTAGTCCAGTGCCTTTTGTTCTTAGTTGTGTGCTTTAGTTCATGTTTAGTGTCATTCCTGGTCTGTGTACTTCTGTGTTTTATTATTTTGATCTGTGTCTTAGTACTTAGTCTTATGTCTCCATGTTCTAGTATAGTCCTGTCTCCTGTTTGGTCCTGTCTCTGTCCATGCCCTGATTTTGCAGACTTTCCATGTTTTGTGTTTTACTTTGGTAGATCTTTCCATGTGTGTTCCTGTGTACTTTACTTCCTATTTTATTTTGTAATCTTCTGTGCCTGGTGTTCTTGTCTAGCTTTGTTCCTGTTGTTGGTTAGTGTATTGTCTTGATTATTAGTTTGTTACTTCTGCCTTTTTTCTTTATGGATCTGTGTATTGTTGTGTTTATAGTCATTTCGGTTTATTCTGTTCTGTATTACTTTCTTGCCTGGTTAGCTTGCTGTTTCACTGTGTGTCTGCTGTGCCTGATTAGCTCCTCATGTCTTTCACCTGTGCACTCCCGCCCTGCTCGTTTACTTGTGTATTTAAGCCCTCAGTTTTGTTCAGTCTTTGTCACGTCCTTTGTCTGTGTTGCGTGTTCTGTCCCGTCCCTGCGCTTTGGATTATTTTGTTGGATTGTACCTTGTTCTTTGTTCTCGGACTCTTCCCTTTGGATTATGTTTTGTTTGGCGTTACCTTTTGTTTGAACATTTGCCGCTGTGCTCCCAGCGTAAGCCTGCTTAGTTTTGGGTGCATTTGGGTCTGCACCTCAGCTCTCTGCTCCTGCACTCAGCTGCCCATGACAAGACCATTGTGGTGAAGAGGAAGCTGAGCCTGAAGGCAAACCTTGTGTATGGAATTGTTTCATATTATAGGGACTGTGGTCTCTGTTGGACATGTTGAAGGTCAGATCTGACACATTATTAATTTTAGTTTCAGTATACATTTATTTGTTGTAATGGAGAAATGGGCTTGTGCCTCCTGCAGGTGGTTTCTCTCTGATGTGGATTTGCTGCTCCTGTGAATCCTCCCCCAGTGTTTCATTAGCAGCTGGAACCACAGTGACTCTGATAAAACAGGAATTAGCAGAATCCATCTGATATGAAGCTGTGGTTTGAATACCACTTCCCTCCTCTTTGAAGAGTAGTCAGATATCTGGGTTCAGGTTTTTGTACAGCCTCTTCTACACTTTGTATCACTGTGTTTCTAGAGCACAGTAGTAGAGAGCTGTGTCTGCCAGGGTTAGATCTCTGATGGTCAGTGTAGTTGATGTTGCTGATGTTTCAGATTCATATCTTCTATCAGGAATATGTTCATCTGTGTTATCTTTTGCTCCTTTCCAGAGTATAAACTGAGGTGCCTGAAGGTCAGAATGATGTTTGTACCAGTAAAGGTATACACCACTTGCTGTTGTCTGATAGTTGCATGTGAGTGTGACAGATTGTCCTTCTCTTTCACTGACTTCCTCTCGTACAGGAGAGATTGTGTCTCCAGCTATTAGTCCTGGAAAAAGTAGAGCAAATGAAGCCATTAGACTAACATTGTTCATGAGGCTGAGAGGAGAAGACAGTGGAAAATGGCAGCTGTACAGTGTTACTCTGTGGACACAAACACTCCAACACTCACCTATGAAGTGAGAGCAAAGTAAAAAGAGGTAAAGCAACATGTCTTTGGAGTTGTTAAAGCCAGACAGACAGCAGATGAGCAATGTTCTTCCACTGCAGTAGAATGAAGAAACTAAACAGCCTCTCTGCTGCACAGCCCTTCTCCTCAACATCAAGCTGACTTTTAGTTCCTCAAACATTTCTGCTCTGGAGACGCAAAGAATCTCATTGGTTGAGTTGGACTTCAGTGGGCGGGGCCAGAGAATCCCCTTTTTAGAGATTGGCTGTCTACCAAAGTTCAGTTCAGCCAGTGAGATTATTTGTGCATCCAGAGCAGCTCTGCCTCAGAGAAATGTTTCCTGAATGTCCACTTTCAGTTCTTCACACCATTGTGAGACCGAGGCAGGTCCCACTAGAAGGAAGCCTACCTGAAGACCTGCTCTCTATTCATCATGTCTTAGTGCAGTGGTTCCCAACCTGGGATCCGCACCCCCCTCAGGGGGGCACCAGAGATGACGGGGGGCCCAAAGCTTTATGTGTTTTGAGGTTGTCAAAAAAACTTTGATTTGCACATTTTTTTAAATCGCGATAACACACTAGATAATTTACATAACGGTCTGTATACATTTGTTCCTCACTGAAAACAGTAGGCAGACTACTTAATAATAGGGCTGTAATGGTTTTGAAACAGACCAAAATTGCGACACAAAAGTCCACGATCTCGTGTCGCGGATCCGAGAGACAGAACCACGACACACCTGCTCATTGGACTGTTGAGCTCTCATTAAGGTGGGGGGTGGGCTCAGTAGCGGCGTATATTGTAGGCTATTAGTATTAACAGCAGGTTATTGTAGGTCATTTTCCACCTTATAGTTTAGTGTTTATTTACTTGAATCTGCTCTTGTCCCCACACTCACACACACCTCGCCTCCACCTCTGGTCTCTCACGGCAAACACTGGCTCCGCCTCTTTGTCTCTCTCTCTCTCTGTAAGTGTCTCTGCTGACTTTCTCCATCAGCAGTACGTTTCATTAAGTCGCCCTGT